ATAAGTTCAGTAAATGCATAAAATATATATTTGTTTTAAAGTGTTCCTGGCCCTGGCCGGGTGGCTCAGTCAGTTGGAGCATCATCCCATACACCAAGGACCAAAGCAGTTAAGTTGTTTGTCTGAGGTCCTACAGCCAGTAAGTGCCAGGGTAGGCTTTGTGCCTGACCAAAATCCATGGACTTCCATTGGGTGAACATGTCCATTCCTGAAAATTATAGGAGAAAATTTGGTTTTGGGGTGCAGGTCGTGGCAGTTCCTCAGTGTTTAACACAGTTTTCTACACTTGGATAGAGATGGTAGGAGTATCAGTGCTTGGGACTGACAAGTTAGACTAGCATTTTCCAAATTGTATTTTGTGAAATGCCATAGGTTCCCTAAAGGTGTTCTGTGAAATAAAGTTGTTCAAATAAGTTTGGGAAAAGGCCATACTCTTTGTCCTTATTGGAGACTCATGTGAGCTTAATAAAATATCTGAGAAGTGGTAAGGTAAAGAACCTTTTTAAACTTTATCTTACCTATTTCCTGCATTTGGAATATACCTATGCACTTGGAAAGCGCGCGCGCGCACACACACACACACACACACAATAAATATTTTGCTTGACACTCATGCAGTATGGAATACAGTTTGAGAATTGCTGGATTAAACCTAACATCTTGAAACTAAACTTTTTAAGGTTGGACTCTCACTTCTGTATCACTTTTGTGTGATTGGAATGAAAAGTGAGAACTTGATCTACTCTGCTTTGAGTTTCTAACTCTTCTCTTTCCTAGTGAAGGGTATTGCTGGGTTAGGGAGCTGATAGTGAGAGAGAAAGCTTGGACTATGCTATTCCCTCCCTAGGAGTCTATTATAGAGGTGCTTTAGGTGTACTAGTAACTCTGCCTGAGCTTTCAGCGTAGATCTCTACCTCATTTCTTCTTGAATTTCCAACCCAAGAATTTCTACATTAGCCAATTCTTGTCTTCCAAAACATCTGTATTCTTTGCTACAATTGTAAAACCTAATGTCTTTTCTTACTTCATTGTTACACAAATCTGTTCTTGACATTGGTGAGAGAGTTCTTGGATTCATTTACATACATCTTTTAAAAATACATATTGCTTTCCTTAAAACAACTTATCAATAGAGATTGTAAGTTTGATTATCTTGACTTTTATCTCACAGGCACTTCTGGCTGATTCATATCAAGATCCTAAACTAACTTATCTTTTGAGAGTCAGCTATAATTTGTTAGAATTTACATATTAAACATGGAAAGAGTCAAAGATTTAATATGGATGGGTACGTTCACTAGGTCTTAATATGAATCAGGATTACTTATACACAGATCTCAGAAAACACATTTAAAAAAATAGAAATATGAAAGGAAAAAATATCACCCCCATCACTAAATTATCCTCAACAAGGTAGGGTAATAATTATCCAAAATTTTCTTGTAATTCAAAGGTTAACTAGAGAAGATTTTTGCTAAAGCTATTACTTAACCCTCAGTGCCTCAAAAAGACTAGAGGTAAAGAACTATCTCATGACTCTGCTTTAATTACTTCTGTTGTTGTTATGCAATTGGAAATAGTATATATTATCTGGGAAACCTTTTGCAAAACATACAGGCATTTGTATTGGATTTAAAATATAGTCCTCCTGTGAGGCCCTGGGAAAGAAATATAGATGATCCCTTGTAAATTAAAACCTTATGTTTCATGAGCTTAAAGAGGCCTCTTTGATTGGCTAAGATATGAGGAACTGAGTTTGGAATCATTTTGGTGCAGAAAGAAGTTTTTAAGAGAACAAGTAAAATTTGTGCTTCTATGAGTGAGCTTTTCTGCTCTACCATCTGCACGACTTGACATTTTTGTGTGTATGTATGAAGGAAATAAAGTTATACAGCTTTTAAAATCAGAGTCTGATTGGTTTTTTTTTGTTTGTTTCTTGCTTTAACCCAAAATTCTCTGGCTGAAGGTAACATGGAAGCCAACCCACAGTTTCTAAAGTACAGTACAAATTCTTCTTAAATCAATATCTTTGGAATTATGATTAAGAACAAATGAAACATACAACCAGGCTTTGCCATTTCGGATCTGACAACATTTCTTTGGCCAGGGTAACGAAAAACACCAGGTTATTTATACTTTATTAGACTTCTAAGGCTGAAGAGATCTTAATACTTTAAAGAAATTAAAAAAGAAAACAAGCCATTTTTTCCCTCTTAACGTTGTCATCAGACCTTAGTGTGTGGCTTCATCTTCACAACGGTGCTGATGAAGGTAGAAAGAAGATGATGCTGAGTTAACACACAGAAATGGAGGTTTAAGAAGTTGACTTGATCACGCAGTTGGGGGAACCAGAATTCAAATGTAGTTACCACATGAATTAACACAGCAGCTCACCAGAGGAAACGAGATAAATTACACAGCTTTTGTAACTTAAAGAAAGTTTTTTAGGAAATGCAAAATTCTGCCTTGCTGTGAGAGAGTTATTTGGATGTTTTAGTATAAAGGAGATCAAGCATCAAAGGAGATTGTCAGATGGCCATTTCTTATACCCACCCATGATATAATGATGCATCTTAGATGGGGGAAGGTGTTTCTGTAAGGAGGCAAAAAAAAAAAAAAAAAAAAAGGACTCAATGCATAGCTTTCCTGTGATTCGATTTCGTCCAAGATGAAGTTTTAGGGTAGTGATGGCGAACCTTTTGAGCTCGGCGTGTCAGCATTTTGAAAAACCCTAACTTAACTCTGGTGCCATGTCACATATTAGAAATTTTTTGATATTTGCAACCATAGTAAAACAAAGACTTATATTTTTGATATTTATTTTATATATTTAAATGCCATTTAACAAAGAAAAATCAACCAAAAAAATGAGTTCGCGTGTCACCTCTGACACGCTTGTCATAGGTTCGCCATCACTGTTTTAGGGGATGTACTTGCCATTCTTACATTTATTCTGTATTCTGGTCATTGACATGTTCTTTGGGGCTGGGTTAAAGGCACCATTTTTCTTTTATCATGATGAGTTTTCTGGCTTTACTAAGCCTAAATTTCCTCACTTATCAAATTAGAATGATAATCTAATAGGCATTGTGTATCTTGCTGGCTTTAATACACTGTTATTCTGATCACAACAAAGAGTGCTTAGATTTAAACGTCAGAGTATTAACAAAATTATACAGGTTTCAGGTATACAATTCTACAACACATCATCTGTACACTGTATTGTGTGTTCACCAGCCCAAGTCCCCATTTATTCCCCCATACCCTCCTCCACTTCTCCCTTCCATTCCTCCCTCTGGCAATCACCACACTGATGTCCATGAGGTGTTTTTTTTTTTTTCTCTTTTGCTCAATCCCTCCATTCCCTCCCAACCCCTCACCCCCCGCCCCCAAAGCTGTCAGTCTGCTTTCTATCCACCAGTTTGTCTCTATTTTGCTTGTTAGTTCATTAGATTTTGTCACCCCAATACATTCAATAAAAGGGGAAAATCCTAGCTAATAAAAGAGAAACATGGTAATTAGCGTACGACCGCTACCCTTCCCATTGGCTAATCAGGGCGATATGCAAATTAACTGCCAGCCAAGATGGCGGCCGGCAGCCAGGCAGCTGGAAGCAAACATGAGGCTTGCTTGATTCAGTGAAGGAGGACTCCAACGTTCCCCGCCTGCGGATCTCAGAGGAGATGATACAGTGTTTCGATTATAGAATCGAAACAAACCAGATACCTGCTTTCAGCAGCAGAGGCCTTGGCCCAGAATAATAAAAAAAAGAAAAAAAGGAGCGGTTGGGAGCTTCAGTCACCCACCAGCCTGAAAACAGCCCTCAGCCCCTCACCCAGACTGGCCAGGCACCCCAGTGGGGACCCCCACCCTGAAGGGGGTGGGACCAGCTGCAAACAGCCATCAGCCCCTCA